CCCATAACCAGTGTTAGCGTGGTAACGCAGTGTGTGGGAACCACGTAACATTAAGCACCAGAATCCAGACTGTCTTTGATGAAGCAGGCAACATTGTCAGCTACAGGAAAACTTCTTTCTCCTCCAGACAGAGCAGAGAGAGACCCAGCAGATGTCTCATTAAGAGGCTTTTAATCTTCAGACGTTCTATGTACAAAGGCTATGTACAACAATACACCAACGCACTCGCCAACAATCTCCACCTTCCACAATCAACCCACATATGTGTCCAGAGGCTTGTCCCTTATATAGCCAGTGCTCCACATGGCTTCCTGGCCCTGCCTCTTCCTTTTGGACACCTGTCAATCATCAGTATGACACATCATGTTTGCAGCCCTTTTGCAGCACTTACTGTGCTTTACAGCACCAGGTGACTCCCTGTCATTATGTCGCCTCCTGTTTCATCAGCCTGTTTCATCAGTCTTGATGCTGCATGACTCAGCAGTGGCCAAATGCTTAGTCATCATGGCTGCTGCCATTCACTACATTGTCCATTTTCACTGGAACATTATTCCAACACCCTCTGTATTAGCTATCTTAATCATGTGCATTCCAGCCCTCCAGAGAGCATTTGACAGGCTGGCTGGCATATTATTTACCTGGGGAAGTCTGGACTCTCTCTGAGTATTTTGGTCCTTATTTAAATCATGATCTGGCCAATCTGTCAAACACACCATCTCCCCCATTTAAATCATAAACTAGGGGAAATAACAATCTTCTGGGGCTGGGATGAGATCTCACATTGCAATGTAAGGAAAATTCTGTCTTTCTCATCCCCTCCCTATGCCCTACTCCAGAGCACAAAAGGGTTTTATGTGTGTGAGAGCAATACATCAAGTGAATGTGATTTTGTGCATTAAGGGGTTGCAGACTGCCAGAAATAGTGCAAATTGAGTCCACTTTTAGGGTTAGGGTTAGGGTTAGGGAATCATGGTAACTGTAGTTTATTGTGGCACTATAGCTCTCTGACAGAGAAGGCTCAATTTCTCAGAAAAAAAAATACAGTTCCCATGATTCCTTAACACTAACCCTAATCCTAAAAGTGGACTCAATTTGCACTATTTCTGGCAGTTTGCAACCCCCCTAAGTATGAAAGTGAAGGGCCAGCAGGACAAAGGAAGGCTGTGCATGAGATAAAGAAAGAGATAATACAGAGAGGGAGTTTCAAATTCTGTTAGTTTTATTGTAGCATGTAGATATCTTTAAGAAACGATGCTCTGTGGTAAATCTTCACAATTTGCTATCAAATATAAAATTGCTGATGCAATTACAGTTCAAAGACCCAAAGTAGTTACTGTTATAAGAGCCAACGTGGTGTAGTGGTCTGGGTGTTGGACTATGACTCTGGAGACCAGGGTTCGATTCCCAGTTTGGCCATGAAACCCACTGAATGTCTTTGAGCAAGTCAAATGCTCTCAGCTACAAGGGAAGGCAATGACAAACCTCATCCAAACAATTCTTGCCAAGAAAATCCCATGGTAGGTTTGCCATAGGGTCTCCATAACTCTTGAAGGTACACAACAACAATGGTTACTATTATATGTATTTTAAAAAACAACAACAATTACCTACTTTCTTGCAGGTTGCAGACTGCCAGAAATAGTGCAAATTGAGTCCACTTTTAG